GAATGATCCATTACGAAAAAAAAAAAAGAATGATCTGAAACTTTCTTAAATGGGAGCACCTGTGGAGACTGATGAAGAATCAAGTCTTTTCTTATGTTCATGTCTTCATAATTGGGTTGCAAAAATGAACAGGAAGGAAAGATGTGGCAATGAGTCATCATAGAATTTTCTTAGAAAAATTACATTAACTCCCACTGCCCCCAAATAATATTTGATTCTTTCTTCATTAATTCCAGAATTAGCAAACAGCTATAATCTGTATTACTGAGTCAATGATAAAATAAGCTCACTTTCATAATTTAAAATTTGGGGATTTTTTTCACAATAAAGCCTAACTATATTTTTCAGTAATTACTATGAAATGCTGATTTTTTAAAACAAATTTACTTTAAGAGAGCTTACTCCTATATCACTTAGCACTAAATAATACGGATCTTCTTTTCTCATCCTGGTTATTCAAATTTTTAAAAGGCACAGAATATACCAATTCTTTTTATGCTCTATAAAATCACAGCTGAGCTGCTTTGAGAAGAAACTCCAAAGTGTTACACTCAGCAAAATGTAATTTATATTTCCTACTAATAATAATACAATATAGAAAGAAGTATTAGACGGTATCTTCCCAATTTCCTAAATTTACACAGAGGTTGGCCAGCAGCCCAGAGTGTGAAGTGACTTGCTCAAGATCCCATATCTGACAGTAGCTGTATCAGAATTACAAGGAAGAGCTCCCAAGCCCTCTTCTTTCTCCAAGCCATTGATCTTTATTTGACTCTAATATACTATGTGCATTAGATATATGCATGTATGAATATCAAAAGTGCATTACATGAAAATCATAGACACAACAAAAAGCGAAATACCAGTCAGCAAGCAGTGAAGCGCTGAATTGACTTCATATTTGTTCTAAGGGTGTCCTTCTGTTGGTGACTGAAGGTATATTAGCTTAGTGGGCCATGCAATAGCTGTACCACCACAACTAATGGACTGCCAAGAGATGATTTAATAAAGAAGCCCAGCTGAACAACAGCATGTAACTAACTCTGACAATCTGAGGCTTTCTTTTGGTCAAACATTTTATATCTGTGAGCAGATACTCTCAGAAGGCTTCACTGTAATAACACTAGTCCAGACATTCTTATATAAGTTCAGATTCTCCAAGATCTTAAGATATGATTTAAAAAATGCTTAAAGGTCTTGTCCCCTGAGCCTTCTCCAGGCACCACTTGTAACGTGATTAGAGATCTGGTTAAACAACTAATTCAGCAACTATGGTGTGTTTTCTGTTTCTTAAATGTTGCTTCTAGATTTTACTCTGAAATACGAGAAACAGAAGTGAGAAAGAGACTAAAATAAAAATATTTATTAACTATACTTTCTACGAAGTATAGATTCCTCATCTTTGGACTACCTTGTACTGAGATGAGAAAACAAAAGTAGTTAGTGTGTGGTAGGGCCCAGGATTTAGCTCAGTGGTGCCACACCTGCCTAGCAAGCGCAGGGTCCTGAGTTCGATCCCCAGTACCAGAAAAAAAAAAAAAAGTAGTGTGTGGGGAGAAAAATTGCTAAATGAGCAAAAATTTTAAAACATAGTAATGTGTACTATTGAGAATTTAGAATTTAGGGGAAAGGTAACTAACTTCACTTCCTAACTCTGCTAAAGTGTGGTAAGCATCACTGTTCTAAAAATGCAAAAATTTATCTAAGAAAATAATACAAATCCAAAAAACAATTTAGCTAAAAGAATCTTCATCATACCATTATTATGTAGTAGCAAATATGTTAGAAACATTCAAGGCTAAAATTAACCATTGCACATCCATATATAAGAATAATAGTCTATAAAAAGAATGGCAAGGAGCACAGTAGAAAAGCTTCACAATATATTAAGTGGAAAACAGGATTACAAAAGAATGTAGTATATAATCTTATTAAGTAATCCAGGTAAAAAGGCTTGGAGAAATATACATAAAAATATTAACACAGGTTATTTGACCAGTGGGATTATGGCGTTTCTTTGTTTTGCTTATCTATATTTTCTAGATTATCCACATATAATACTTTTGTAATAGAAAAATTTAACCATACAAGAATATAAAATTTTATTATGTAATTGTGGAATACTATATTGAACTATGATTTGTTACAATGCAGTGAACTTTTGAGGACAGTGAATGAATGTTAAGTTTTTGCCATTGTCAAAAATTATGTTTATGTAATAATGTGAACCGAACCCCAAAATGAAAAAAAGTAAGTTAATTGAGAATAACAGTAATTTTATGATATTAGAAAAAGTATACATCTCAGTGATTATACATTTTTGAGAAAAATAAATTGGAAATAACTGAAGATATTTATGTGGAATGATTTTAGATTGCAAGCAAAATGGATGATTTAAATACTTAAAGCCACAGATAATATCTTAGGTAAAAACAGTTTTTATTTCCTTTAAAAGAGTTTATTATTTACTTATTTAAAAATGCATCCTTTTATCTACTACTTACAAGAGAAAAGATACAAGGCAAAGAACTCTATTCCAGACGTTAAGCTCAGATAAATGATTCATTTTTAAGAATGGTCAATTTCTTATGAAACAAAGACAGCGCTTCCCTCTGAATTCACATAAAATAGTTCCACTAAGAGCAACATTTTAGGACTTTGAAATCTGTTTTTCAAATAATTACTATTTAATAGAGTCCAACTAAGTATTAGGCAGTCAGTGTGGGTAATTTACACAGATTGTCATTCATATTCTTACTCCTCTCTTCCTCCCCTCCCTGCCCCTCTCTCCCTCCAGATATGTGTGCATCACATTCATGATATGGCTTGTTCAAAACAGATTTATGAAGTAAATTAAAATTTTCCAAACATAGGAAAATAAAGAAAGAACTTAAAAATAATACACTTGCTTTTAAAACTGTGTTTAGATTATCTTAGAAATGACCCATGATTTAAAACTTATTCCTAGGGAAATCTATGAAAAAAACAGTTTATAGGCATAATGGTATTCTGATAGTTTTTTTAGAAAACCTAATCCAACATTAAATCATTAATTTAAACACTTCCTTCTCCCAATCATTGGAAGATGGGGCTGCCTAATACTTTTCAAAAACTTAAATCTCAAGTTTTAGTATTTTAAAAGTATTGTATTAGAAAAAAAAGACACCTGCATTGCTTCCAAGACTATTTTTATTTCTATTAATATAGTAGAGACTTCATGAAAAAATACTTAAATATGAACTGCCTGCACACAAAGTTCCTATTATATCTAATTATTCATAAAACATCTCCTTGCTAAGGAGGCTGTGGATAATAGTTGGACTGAAAGATCTGTTAGGACTTCCCACCCAATCATTCTCTGCAGTTCTTTTTGGGGGGGGGCGCTACTGGGGATCAAACTCGGGACCTTGTGCTTGCAAGGCAGGTGCTGGAACCACTAAGCTAAATCCCTGGCCCTCTCTGCAGTTCTTAAAGATCTTAACCGTGTCTTTATCAGACACCAAGTGAGGGACTTGTACTGAAAGACTCTTCAAGAATATAAATAAGGTTATTCAAACCAGCCCCCCTACTCTAACCACAATTAGCTTCAATTCAGAATCCGAACTGTGAACATAGCTTAAGATTTTCCTAAGATGTCCTTTAACCTGCTTCTTCTACTTCTCTTCTATATTTCCTGCATCTTTCTAATCTTAAAGTTGAAAGAGGTTTACATGTTTTAGAAAAAAAAATGTGGATGCTTTTAAAAAATGTATTCCCTTAACTACTCCTTACATCTACTTTCTAATCCCCTACTCACTTAATTAAATTCAGTGTGAATTTAAATTGCAATTAACATCTTTTGAGAGATTACATGTTCTAATCACAATTATGCAGTGAATATTTGAAACACATACATTTTGTTATATTATCTGAAATGCAAATTGGAGTCCAAAAAAAGATGTTTAATAAAAATGTATAATACTGAAGACTTTTATTATGGAAGCTATGGGACTAGAAATGAGATTTAAAAGAGTGAAAGCACTGATACAAGGATAAAAACAAATTGCTTCACCTCCAAAACCCCTGAAGTGGCCCCACTTGGCTCTCATTTAACCTAGCTTCATCACAGTTTAAAAATTACTTCCAAGAGGCTTTATTAACCAAACTGAATTTCATTTCTTTCTGCCTAGATCAGTAATGCAAAGTCTTAAGTGAGAGATGATGCGTATAATTCTGTAAGGACAGGAAGTAAAAGTCTATTTTTCTGACCCAGGAACTTATAATGGAATGATTAACTTCTTTTAACTTTTTCCTCAAAATTGCATTTCATAAACAGAAGGGAAAAGCTGACACTTACCGACCACTTTCTGTATTCTGGACAGTAAGTGTTACTCTAATGCTTAAAATAACCCTATGAGGTAGGTGTTACCTCATATTATAGATGTAGAGTATAAGGCTCAAAGAAATTAACTGTTAAGAAAATAAAATTAAATGAATTGGTGGTGAGCTCAACATTTGAACCCAGGCACTCATTAGGTAAAAGGATAGTCTCACTTCTACAAAGCTAGGGCATTGGGAGGAATGCTTAGGACCAAGCACCTCCTCTCAAACAGGCTGTTGGGATGTTGGGAGCCCAAGAGTAAGCATAGATATAAAGCTTCAAGAAGTGTCAACCTTGTGGCTCTCCTGGAGCTTTCTGCAAAAGGCAAGAGCTTGCTGAAAGCCAGGTTACTTTGAGGTTTTCTCAGACGGTGTTGGGCTTTATCATAAGGTAAAGAGGTGGTGCTTCATCTACTCCTACTTTCTTCTTGGTAAATTTCCTCTTGTAGGCTCACGATCCATTTGTGTACTTAACAGATGGTTAGCTTGAAAACTAGGTTTAAAGAAATTAAGGCAAATTCAGGTTCTGCCTTTCATTACCCTCTCCAGTTTCCCATTAATTAATCTGTTTTCACACAAATTTGCTACTATACTTTACCAGCAAACAGAGACTGGTTACGCTTTTTTCTTTTTTCTTTCAGATGGTCAACGGAGACAGAAGCAAGCCCCATACTTAACCCTGAAAAGTAGTGTTAAAAATCTGTTTAAACTTTCCCGGCCCCTTAGCATGTTTTTTTCCCCCTCATTTATCCATGATCCAGTTTCCTTGATATATGTGATTTGATATTGCCTAATGTAACACAAGCCCCTGCACAAGGATAGATGTGAACAAGCGAGGGTTTTATGTGCTGGAAACTTGGTCTCCAGTGCAGCAGTGTTAAAAGATTGGACCTCTGGGAGGTACTTGGGCCATGACAGCTCCGCCCTCATAACTGGATCAATCCATTTACAGATTAATGGTTTATCACAGGAGTAGCTTTGTCATAGATGCAGCTCACTCTGGCAGGCTTGCTCCGTGACACCACGTGGTGCTCACTGCCATGCTGTCAGATAAGAAGGCCCTCATCAGAAGCTGAGTGGATGCAGGCACCATGCTCTTCGACTTCCCAGCCACCAGAGCCATGAGCGAAATAAACTTCAATTCTGTATAAATGACTTAGTCTGTGGAATTCAGTTATAGTAACAGAAAACAGACTAAAACAGGTCATAATCCAAAGACTGAAAAGAGGTAAGAGAAGAAAGATATTCCAGTATGTAGTTTGTTACCTAAAGCAGCCATGCAGGAACGAGAGGGTCCTAGATTTTACTTACTTAGGTGTGAATAAAGAATCTCTGACATGGGCCAGGGATTTAGCTCAGTGGTTCCACTGCCTGCCTCACAAGCGCAAGGGCCTGAGTTCGGTCCCCGGTACCAAAAACAAAAAGACACTCTGAAAAATTGACTTGAGCTATTTTAATCCTTTGTTTCCTTGTCTCAATGAGCATAATATTAATACCTACTTATAATAATTTGTGAGAATTAAATGAGATGATTCATATAAAGCGTTAGTACAGTAAGTACTTAATAAATATTACCTATTAACTAGATATGTCATCATCAGCATTATCACATTACTAAGTGGTAAGAACCATTAATGAAGGTTTTACCAAATTAGGAATCCAGAAAAAAAAAAAGAGTATAAAATTTCTGGTAAATTTGGAAACTTAGACAAATAAGCATTTTAAGGTAGAAAGAAGGAAAGATAGACATTAGGGTATGGGGCAAGGCTTTTAAAATGGAGTATTTTTAATAATATAATTCACTGACAAATTAAACTCATAATTTATTTAAAACTTATTTTGAACAGAGATTTGTGAGGCCTACAAAAATACTCAACAACAATTTTTTTTAAACGATCACTGGGGAGAAAACAAACCCATGTAGAGCAGAGGACCCTCACAGTTCCAATTAGGATTGTGGTTTGGAATAAAAGAATCACTTAATGTCACTTAAGTTTCCTAAGAAGCAAAGCTGATGGGAGCAAAACCAGGACATCAGAGTCACTGCAGAGGCCAACAGCCTGTAAGAGGGCACAAACCAACCACTCCACCAAGACGCTGGCCTCTTTGCTATGAAGTGCACTTCTAACTGAGTCATCATTTCGCCAACTCTGATTTTTCTGGTGCCTCTGAAAAAAAATGACAGCAAGGGAAGTATGTAAAGAGCGTGGTTGGTTGGTGGAGGTAGGAAGGTGGTCATGAGGGACAGAAGTTTTCTCAGTTGTTGCAGAGAAGTGGGAAATTTAACTCAGCAATTTTCCAGAGCTGCTGAAAGGCACATGGAGAAGGCTTACTTGAGAGCAGTATCAGTGAGGGGTAAGAGAAAATCAAGTTTATGGAATCCATAAACTTGAATCCTACTGGAATTTGAACACTATCATTAAAATTAACCCAAATATTCAGTCAACAGGCATTTGGTGAATTCCTACAGTGTAAGTGGGAAAGATTTTTTTTAATGTAAAATGTGATCACTGTCCTTAAAAACATTTTAACCTACACAGGAGTATAGCATGTGTCAAATCCAAACCTACTTTAAAGAAAACCAAAAACTTCTTTCAAATCAGACTTTCTTTAAAACAGAGTTTGTTATTTACTGGATAATGGGCTTCTTACTCCCTCATTTAAAGACCAAGTTTTGTTCCTGCGACCAGAGAGTTAAATGAATTGGTTGCTAAATGAAGAGCTGTATATAGTATGTACATTTCAATATTCAGAACAGAGAAATGGTCAGAGGAAACTCCTTTGCTTTCATTTGCACAACTCTTATGTGGAATACTGTAATGTGTAGTAGAACATAAAACTACAGTACTATCCTGTACAGTCAGCAAAAATTACAGTACTGATTAAACAAGGTATACTGGACAAAAAAGACAAGATGTACAAATGGTACCAAAAAATAAAAATAAAAGAGAGGTGGTAGGTCCGAGCAATGAGTCATAAATTTGAATGGCATGCATCAGTGATAAATCTGGATAGGTAGGTCCTTAAATGAGGAACCTCTATATGTCCCATGGCTATGTTTAGGGCAGATGTAAAACTACAATCAGACAATAGCAACATCTGGAGCTTCCACTGTTAATAGGTTTGTGGAGTAACATGACCTTAAAAAGTTTTCATTCTTTAACTATTTCTTTTCCTATCTTGTGGGCTTATGACTTTCTTTAATGTCTTTTCTTCAAAATCTTAACAACTACAGTTCGAATTTAATGCATTATTTTAAACACTACTATTAAAGAGTGTCCTCGATTCGAGCATCTCTTTAACTATTCCTAGGTATATTTCTGATTCTGACATACACACCTACATTGATGTAAATACAAATCTTGTGCATATATACAACACACATACATATATACCTGCATATCCACATATACATCCATACCATACACCACATTATATAACTAAATAAGTAATAAAGACATGTTATAAAAGATTTGGCTACAGTTAGAAAGAAGGATTGCTTAGATAAAACTGATTCCTTCTCCCTTTACTCTAAAGTCAAATACCCAATTAGCTTTTCAGAAAGGAGTCTTCTTCATATATAATACCAAGTACCTACCTCAAACTTCCATGAAGTTTTCACTAGAGTATTAAAATGACTTTGCATGCTTGTATCTTTAATGAAAGCAATCACATGGATTCATTTTAACCAGATGTGAGGTAACTATACTATTAGCATATGGAGCCTATGCTAGCCCCCAAATGCCTGCATTTGCGGATTCTGAGCATCTCTGTGAAATCCCTCCCTACTGTAAATCCAAACAGCAATACTAATGCAAGCTGGTGTGTGCTGTGGAAATAGATGGATGCGAATGACAGTGACCACCACTTCTCAATCTGCAGTGTGAACCAGACACTGGCCACAGATTCTCCTTCTATACATCATTTGAACACGCAAAGTATTAAGCAAAGAACACGAAATTTATTTAAAATAGTGCCCACCCATATACTGTCAGTTGAAGTTAAGTTTATATAAACGTATTAGAACAAAACTACATATTCAGGGATACTTAGAAATTTTCCCAAATACAGGCATTCTTTAAAAGTAACTGTAGAAGCTATCTAGAATTCTGGCCAAACTAGATTTTCTTTTCCATTCAATTTTCTTTTTGCATTTGAAACATGGCTTATTAGATGAGGTGTGACTGAAAATTACAGTGAATGTTTTAAAAGATTCGGTTTATCTTACTTTATTGAAAAGAAAGTTGGTGTTGTTTCTTTTTTGTAAGAAACTTTTTAGTTTATGTCTCACACCAAGCAACTTATTTAAAGAAAACAATACACTGTGTAACAACTATTGTTATTCCCTTACTATTTATTTTTTATTTTATAAAAATTTGGGATTTTTTTCATAAAATGTAAAACATGAAAAAAAAGTATATTACAGTAGAAGACATACTGCCATTAATCCCCCTCAAAATAATTCTCTCCCTTGTTTTAAGCACTTATCTCATCATTCTTGTCACTTTCTAAAGCACTCTTCTGTGAGTGTCTTTAGTCATGGCTGCCTCAATGTCTTGATATTACAAGCAGTTCAATTAGATGGAAATTAATATCCAGTCAGAGAGGGACTGGGTTCTCAACAAAGTCAGTGGAAAAATAAAAACATCAGAATTGTGGTTGGAGGCCCATCTGAAGACCAGGCCCCACAATAAAGATGCAATGCAGGCCTACAGGCCTCCCTGAGGGATAAACAGTAACTTGAAATTATACTGTAACTAACACCATTTGGTTCAAAAAGTCCAGCTAGGCATCAGTCACCCAAACCATCTGGACCCATCCCTTCCTCAAAATGCCTTTGTTCTTTCAATGGACCCTTGCAACTTGACTCCCTATTGGACCAATATTAGCCAAGCAGCTATACTTGTAATGCTACAGGTTGATTATAGTTTGACCCATGTTGTATCCACATTGTAACTTTGCTGTATAAATTACCTTTGACAAAGGGCCTCAGTGGCAACCCACTTTCAAGATCGTTCCTGTCTCTCGGGAGGTTATTTCTCAATAAATCTTTCCTACTCTGAACCTCCACTGCTCCTCAAAATTCATTCTTCAATTTTAGGAAACACAAACTTGATTGACATCTTGCGGGTTGGTAGTTATGTCATTGAGTTATATTATTGAGTCCATTCAAATGTTTACCCTTCACAGTCATTTGGACTTGTGGAAGAGCCAGAAGTTACACAGTGCCAGGTATGGTGAATAAGGTGGATGAGGACACAGTGCAATGTTTTTAGTTTACCTTTCCATTGTATGACACTCAGCACCTACATTCACTGTATTTTTTTTTACCACACCTTACAAAAACACTCACAAAAGAGGACTTCAAGAACTGCTTCAGAGTGGCAAGGAGGATGGGAAAAGGGTGCTCAAAAGACGGGAGTATTTTCAGGGGGATTAATGGAATCTGTCTTTTTCTGTGATAAAATTTACTTAAACCATTCACCGCATATGTTAACCACACCTTGTAAAACTATTAAGGAACATGTCCTGCCATTTTATTTGAGGAGCCTTTAACTCTTTTAGGTTAAACTGTGTCTACCTAATTTTCTGTGTCATTCCTAGTGGGGGAGGCTTGCTGGGGAAAAAGAGAAAAGAGAGATAAAGTCTTCATCCAATTGAAAGTATACAGCCATACATATTAAAAGATGATAGTTGTCATAATGGCAATGAGGTATCACTATTATGGCAAACATGTAATGAAGGCTCACTCTGTGACAGATTAAATGACTTTTACCCATTATCCGCCCATTTAGAAATTACATTAGACCCATTTTATGGCCAAGGTAAATGAGAAGGAATGTATCTAAAATCAGACAATTATTAATTAGGTTAGAATTGGAAGAGGTCTGTATACAGCAAAACCCATGCTCTTCAGAAATGTTAAGATGTCAACATGTAAAACCTCAACAAAACACAAAATGCTGGAACTGCCACTCATAACAAATTCATAAACCCAAGAAAATACCCTTCTTCCCATCCAACCATCTTCTCACCTCCAACCCCACCCACTCCCAAAAGATAAGTTCATGGAATTTGCTGAACCAATGTCCAAAATAAAGGGAAACAAAA